AATTTAAAATATGGTCAACACCCATTAAAAAATGGGTTTGCTGGGCACATGATATTGCATCATGCATATGTGTTGTATAAAATAAAATTTATACATATATGTATGTGTATATTTATGCTCATATTGCAGATGTATATATCTACAAAAAGCATAATAGCATTGAAAACGTACCCAGTTTCAACATGTCTCCCTCGAATCCGGCGAAAGCCGAACTACCACCGGTCGCCGTCCTCGCCTTGCAATCATTTTGACGCCGGCGAAACTCTGTGATCAAGGCTCCGAAGTCCAGCTCAGTTAATGAAATGGGTCGCCGTCGCCGTCGCTGGAGGAGCTGCATGGCCGGAAGCTAGATCATGGTTCGGTCATGGGTTTATCTGTCATAGAGCTCGCCAATGTCACCAATGAGAATGGTTGTTGCGACAAGGAGTTCATGTTTCAGTCACTTCCATTTTGCCCACCCAAGTCGAGAGTTTCATCTGGAAATACACCAGTGCCGACCGTTTTCTCCATGATCGACGCCTATTTGGGGACAAACAAGTACGCAGCTTGCAACCATCACCTGAGAGTTGTAGTTTTGCAAAACAGACCCATCACCGGCAAAGCACAGTCAACCACGCAGTTTGCAGAGCTCGCCGTCGCCACCACGATATGAGCAAAGAACAATGGTGTGTATAGGTGGGTGTCATCGGCGGCACCAGTTCGCAGTCACCACGTGGGTTTGATGACAACAAAGGTGGCTGCTGTAGTTATTGTAACAGAAGATGGGCGATGATGGTGAGGGTGACAACGTTGTGCTTGCATGGAAACCTGCATGTTTTTCTCCGGCGGCGAATCTATCTGCAGCAGTGGGTTCAGCGGCAACGACATCATAAAGAAACCCACTAGTGTGATGCACTTCACGGCCAACACCGGTCTGGGGATGAACGTTCGAAGTCTTTTGGAGCGTGAGGACACCGGCAGCCCGTTTGCAATACAGACCCGTCGCCGGAGGAGTCCCTTATGCAGTTCCAGGAGGTTCGCCCACTTTTGGTTGGAATGAACTGCGTTTCTCGCCAGATTTAATGGCGTCAAAACTTACTGTTCTTTACCGACGTGTGGGACGATTAAAGTTCACCCAAAACCCAAAACTATTGGGTATGATGATGGACGACGGCGTAAGTACCATCTCCGGCGGTGACGTTGCCAAAGAGAATCACGGCGTTGTATTTGCAATGGAGCTCACATGTTTTCCAGCACTGAGTCTATCCACGGTGATAGGTTCAGCAGCGGTGACTTCATGAAGAAGATAATCGATGAGACAATCTCTTCTTGGCCGGCGACGGTCCATGGCAAACACGTTGCGATGCCTGGCAGTATGAACCATGAATCATGTTCGTTCCTTGGTTGGTCAGTGCCCATTAAAAAATGGGTTTGCATGTTGATGGTTGGGTGGATGCTACAACATCATGCATAGATCGGCTCACGCAGTTCCTAGAAGCTCGCCAACTTTTGGTCTTTCTTCACCAACGTTCTCAAAAGATCAGTTTTGAAACTTACGCAAAATGGCAAAGCCCAAAACTGTTAGGTACACGTACGAGTAATGGAAAATGGTGGGAGCATCGTCTCCGGTGACGTCGTCGCCGGTGGGGGTGACAGTGTTGATGCTTGCAATGAAAACTTGCATGTTTCTTGGGCGGCAAGTATGATCCACACTTTGTCATTTTTCCTATGGGACTTGCTTTTATTTTGAGACAGACGTGAAGCTGCTGCATAGTTCATTTCTCTCTCTCTCTTTTGGATTAAATGGATATTTTTGAAGCTTGAGCAGGTTGGACGCTTCAATATGGCCTAGGTACAAATGGCCATTGTAAATAAGAAATGAAATTGTACACTTCTCTTTTCTTGTTAATATTTGGATTCAATTATCCATACATTAAAGGCAAAATTAGCTTTAATTGGTCCCGGGCCGAACACAAAAAACTGGCCTAAATAAATACAACTCTACAAAAATTCGGTATGAACCCATTTTCATAGAGTTGGGGGGCAGTTGTTAACACCTAAAATATAATTCGAGGCAATCATGCCACGTGGTCAAAAATTACAAGGTCCGATCATCAGGGCAAAAGATTAATTTCTAATCATGGTGATCCGATTTAAGGCTGAGAATGAAGAAGAGTGGAATTTTTAGGCCATTAAGACTGATATGAGGTTTTGAGCTCATAACAGGCTATGATTGAGAGTCTCAGTCACTATGGTTATGACTCTCAGTTACTATGGTCATGATCATGAGTTTTAGGCCAAACCTTTTCAGTCATTATGATCATAAGAGTCTCAGTCTCATGATCATGAGTCTTAGGCCAAAGCCTTCTCAGTCATCTTGGTCATGAGAGTCTCAGTCATCTTGGTCATGAGAGTCTCAGTCTCATGGTCATAAGTTTTAGGCCAAAACCCTTCTCGGTCGCTATGGTTATGAGAGTCTCAGTCATCATGATCATGAGTCTTAGGCCAAAATACTCTCAGTCATAACTTTCTCAATCACAATGGTCATGGTCAGGAGACCCTCAGTTATAATGGTCACAATCCAAAGTCTCTCCAAAGACTCATAACTAGCCATGATCAAGAGTCTCGATCGTTATTTCTCTCGGTCACAATGATCATAAGACTCTTGGTTATAATGGTCATGATCATGAATCTTAACCAAGATTTCTAGTCACTATGGCCATGATCAAGACTTATGACCAAATATGGTCATGATCAGTGGTCTCGGGTCATTATCACTTGAGGAATCTTTGGGGTAATTCAAATGAAGACCGGTTGTGAATCCCAATGTTTCAAGAACCCAACAAGTCAGGTCTAGAAGTTTGAAGAAAGCTTGAAATAGAAAATGACAACTTGACAATGTCAGAAGTTTAGAACTACAGATGGAAGGTTCTCACCAAGATCTGATGAGGGAAGTCAGGATTGTCAGTAATCAGATGACTCCAGGCTAATGTACAAATCAAGCCAGACATGACAGGTGCAGAGAGCTGAAAATGGCTTGAAGACCAAAATCATCAAGCATGAAAGAATAGGCACCATTTAGTCAAAAATACCATGTCAGACATACTTGTATCTGCCTATAGAGGGATGTGCAAGTTAGTCAACCTTTCCAGCTGGTGGTTAGGAAAAGTCACTTTCAGCTTACAACCAATCAATTTCTAGAGAAACGGTTGAAAGGGACAACACCAGGTGGAAGCCTCTATAAATACCCACTCAAGCATCACAAGGAAGAGGTCCAAGACCATTTCTAAAGTTCAACCTTTAGCATTCATATCACTTAGCATTTAGCTTTTATCTCATCAAGTTCAGTTTATCACTTAGCTTTTATTTCAGCAAGTTCAGCTTAGCACTATCAGTTTGGTACTTAGTTATTTTTCAGCATTCAATACTTTAGTTTCCATTTCAATCAAGAGTTTGTAATTCATTCATCATTGTAATCAGTCAAGTTCAATGAAGAAAGGTTTGCAGATTCAGGTATATTTATTGTTCAGTTTAAGTTGCTTCTAATTGATACTCATCTTAAATGTTTAAAGTCCTTTCTTAAAGGCAATAGCAACCTTAAGGAGAGGGTCATTCCTACTTTCCAACTTTCGCCTGAATCACCTTAGGTCGGTGACCCGACCCAATAGGAATAGTTTGGCAAGAAATATTCGAGTCCATCAGGACTCTGGCACGCCCGCGTTCTAGGTCAGCCATTCATTGGCTAGCGACCTCAGACCACTTTGTGAGCCAAACATATATATATATATATATATCAGCATGAAAAGAAAAAAGAGAAATCAATAGACTGATGAAAAATCAAACAATTAAAATAGAGATTCATAATTTAATTCTGTGCCTAGGTTACCTAAGGGTTTACTCACTCGGGCCACTCCAACCTTTTACCACGTTATTGACAATATGTATATATATACATATATATATCAGCATGAAAAGAAAAAAGAGAAATCAATGGACTGATGAAAAATCAGACAAGTTTAATAGAGATTCATAATTTAAGTCTGTGCCTAGGTTACCAAGGGTTTACTCACTCAGGCCACTCCAACCTTTTACAACGTTACTGACATGAGAATGATAAGTGCCTTTTATAGACAAATATATAAACAAGTACAAATTTATCAATAAAGCAATTTGCTCAAAGCTCACAACTCATTTAAAAAATTCAAACCTTTTTGGACATTCATGCAATGTTCTTGTCATAACTACTCACCATAGATTCCTCGTTCAATTCAAAAACAATTCCATAAGATAGTTATGGAAAAAATGATATATAACTTAACTATTTTTTTTATCACTTTCTTATTTAAATGGTAAGACATGGACCTTATAATAAAAATGATAATTAATTACCGTTCAGCATGATTGAAGATGATTTAAACAATTGACTAGAAAGTGGCCATGAGTGTGAAACTTTCATAATGCATTAAAATGGATAAACTAAATGATTTTTTTATTTTATTTTTTATGGTAGAATACGGGTGTCCTAATCGTAAACACGTATCAACAACCATTGAAAGTCGAATAAGTTTGTACAATCACTGATCTAATGACTAAGCTCACCTGAGACCACCCTCACAACAAAATTTCCTTTTCACATGCTGTCGCACATCAGCCAGGGAAGAGTAATAAATGAACTGGACAAAACGTTTTTATCTTTTCCTTATCATATAATTTGTTATTTACTTCAACAAAATATTAGCCACATAAACAATAAATTTTTATTTTATTTTTCTTTGCATAAATAGTAATTGACAGCAAAATAGATATTAACTATTGATGGTGCACTAAGATCAAAATGAGAAACGTCTTAGTTCAAAGAAGAGCAATAAAAATGTGACTGGGAGAGCTGTATTTTTTATCCTGTCGGTATAACATGACAATATACAGTTTTATCGTTTTATCAGTACTGTTTTTTTCGTGCAAAATGATTTTGGTGCACAGAACCATGCATACTTGGGCCTATAAATAGCAACCCTAGCGAGGCTGAAATCTGCATAAACGGTCTATCACAAGCTTGTGAGTGTTGTGGTTTATTCAACCATATATTCTAGCTTTCTTTTCTTATTTTCTTACTTGTATGAAAATCTTTTGAATTTTTTTATTTTTTATTTTTTAATAAATTTGGTAAGATTAATATTTTATTCGATTTATTTCGTCTAAGTTTTCAGTAGATTCTTTCTTTTGATTTTTAAAACACAGTTCATTAGGTACGTATAAGTTTTTTTTATTTTGTTTTTCTCTAGAGCAAGTCAACAAATCTAGTGGGAGTGCTCTCACTTAATAAGAAAATTTCAAAATGTTAATTTAGATTTTCACCTTAATATAGTTTCTGATTATCTGAATTTGCAGATACAAGTACAAACATATATGGCTTTGGACATGAGCAAAATTATCAGGTTTTCTCTACGTACTTGTCAATATTTCATTTAAAATAATCTCTTATTAGGAACTGCAATTGTCTCTTCGTGCTCAAATAGAGAAAGAAGTTATAATTATACTTATAAGCGTGGATTGATGGTAATGGGAGGGAAAAAAAAAAGTATATATTTGGAGGAAACAAACCTGTTTGGTTCAGTTTTTTTATTCTTCAAAAGTTGGAAAAAAAAAAAGAAAAAAAAAAAAGGGTTTGGCTAACGGTTTCTATGTTGAAAATTGTTTTATGCAAACTCGATTAAAAAAATAAATAAAATTTTCAAAGAACCATTTTTATATTATGTTGAAAACAGTTTTTTGAATTCTTGAGTGCTATTTTGAGAAAACTAAGTCAAACTATTTCGTTCCTTTCTTTTATCTCTATAATTTTTTCAAATTACAGTTTATGACTTTTTCTCTTATAATTAATATTATCTTTTCTTTTCCACTCTCTTTTTTTAATATAGAGAAAAATGACTCTATCATCATGGTAATATTAAAAATATGACTACTAACCCTTAGTGCAATTTTTCGGATTGCAGACCTTTGAATGAGACAGCTGTGGACGAAATTGATACAATTGAGAGGATTAAAACAGGGTTTATGCAATTCAAGATCAACGAATTCGAGTATGTTAATATAAAATTATTTGTCTACATCTATTACAACATGTTCTATTCAGCCAACTAATTGTCTAGTCCTATAAAGAACTTTGATCATCTGATTTTCTCTATTTTGGATAAATTGTATTACCTAATTGCCTGAGGATCTGGTTGAGTTTTGCAGCAAACATCGAGAATATTACAATGAACTTGCAGAAGGCCAGAGCCCCAAGGTAAATGCATGTTTTGTTCTCGAGGGTCGAGTGCAGAAAATACTTTTAAAGTATGCTTACAGATATTACCCTTCACGTACAAAAAATATTCCTAAAGTTTCAATTTGATACAAATAGGCCACTCTAACAAATTTAAACCCCTAAAGTTTCAATTTGGTGCAAATAGGCCACTTGACAAATTTAAACCCCAAGTTGACTAAAGTATCCTCACTGAACCATTTTATAAAATATATAAAAATAAATAAATTTATAAAATGACCGAAAAAGTCACTATTGGAGGATGCCCCTCACATGCAAAAAGCACTCCTAAAGTTTCAATCTGGTGCAAATAAGTTCCTCTCACAAATTTAAACTATAAGTTGACTAAATTACCCTTACTGAACCTTTTTATAAAGTATATACAAATAAATAATTTTATAAAATGATTGAAAATAACACAATTGGAGGACGCCGTCGTAAAGATAAAAATTTAAAATAAAAATAAAATTATAAAAGAAAAGTAAAGTAAAGATAAAAATATAAAATAAAAATGAAAATAAAGTGTAAACTAAAGGAAACAAATTTGCTCTAAACTCCGAAAACTAATGCACACTGATATTGGATTTTTTTTTTTTTTTTTTGTTTAACAGTGTTGCTACGAAAAAAATAAATAAATAAAGAAAAACAAATTTTAGTAGAAAATAGTAAACTGAATTCTCAAAAAATTCAAATCTTTGATCTACAAATTCTCAAAGGTTAAAAAAAAAAAATGTTTAGAGATATATATAGAGAAAAAAGTTTTTTTTTAACAAAAAAACAAATATAATGTGTACATAACACCCTATCCTAGAGATTAGTAGCATGTATACCCCTTTAGACATTTTCGGAAGAGTTAAAGGACAAAACGGGTATTACAATACTAAGTTATGTCAAATGGGGTATTTTTGCACAATGTGAAAAGATTACGGGTGTTTTTACATACTTTTTCAAATATGGGGTAAAAGTACTATGTGGAGTATACTTTAGGGGTGTTTTCTTCACTTGTTCATAAACTTAAACTCTAGGATAACCTAAACTTTTCGAGTTGATGGTAGTTAACGTACATTGTATCTGAGCAGACACATTCTGAGTTCAAATCTCATTATGAACCTCTAACAAATAAAAGTAAAACAATTTCTTTTTTTAATAAATACTAGATGGTGGTTAACACCGTGCATTTCTAATGACTAATTTTTTAAAATTTGGTATGAATATTTCTATTGCAGTTTTTGGTGTTTGCATGCTCGGACTCGAGAGTCTGCCCTTCTCATATCCTAAACTTCCGACCAGGGGAAGCCTTTATGTCACGGAATATTGCTAATTTGGTCCCTGCATTTAACCAGGTTTTCAAATAGTCCAAAAATAAGATTATTAAAGTTGATTCAATCATTTATATTTTTAGTTCCCCTTTATCTACTTTATATTGTCTTACAACACACGTCGATATTGTGGGAATGTTTATCTACTGCACAGGTTAGATATTCTGGAGTTGGTGCAGTCATTGAATATGCAGTCGCAGTTCTTAAGGTCACTTTTCTATTCTTCTTCCAAAATTCCAAACAATAATTTAAAAAAAAAATTTCCTCTTTTTATATATTTTCACATTTGTTCTAGAGGAATAACCAAGTCTCTTAATATAATGAAAATTTTATAGGTGGAGATTATTCTGGTCACAGGGCACAGTTGTTGTGGTGGAATTAAGGGTCTCATGTCTCTTCCCAGTGATGGAACAACTTCTAAGTAAGGATACGTATATTTTTCCAATAATAGTTGCAACTTCATGCATGTGTATTTATTATTATTTTTTTTCCTTCTTTTTTTTTTTCCACATTTTTAATTACCAAAAAAAAAAATACTTGTTCTTTCCATTTGGACATTTTTCTTATTGACCTTTTAATTCAGTTCATATTTTCATTCTGAATAACATTTTTTTTTTTTTTTTGGGTATGTTTGATTGTGATGTGTGCAGTGACTTTGTAGATGACTGGGTCAAAATTGGTTTACCCGCCAAGGCCAAGGTGACATCAGAGCATAGCGATTTACTACCGGAGGAACAATGCAAGATTTGTGAAAGGGTAACTCTCAATTTTACCAAACATACTTATGCTGATTTGATGACAAAATCTGTTAGCAAATATTCAGTGACGGATCAGAGATTTATATAAAAAGGGGCGGTCTTACAAAACAAAAATATACATTAGGGAATCATTAGAAATTTAGTGGAGGCATTTTTAATATTTTCACAAAATTTAAAGAATAAAAATTTTAGTGGGGCCAACTAACCCCTGACAGCTGAGCCCTAAATGGGTCGATGTCTGCCAAATAAACTATTAGTAAAGAAAGATTAAAAAGAAAATATGATTTATTTATAAACCATTTTTACACAAACCCTTTTCAAACCCAATAGCAGCATTGGATTTCAAACGAGTCTAGGGTGTTTAAAAGTAAAAATAAAATGATACTGATTGTGTCTGTGAATATGAAATATGCAGGAGGCAGTGAATTTGTCATTGGTGAACCTATTAACATATCCATATGTGAGAGATGGAGTAGCTAACAAAACTCTACAATTGATGGGTGGACACTATGATTTTGTCAACGGAACTTTTAGCCTCTGGGGTCTCGACTTCGGCTTCAAACCCCCTCTCGACTTCGGCTTCCCCTTAATCTGCCCTATGAAAATTTAAGTTTTGACCATTATATGTCGAGACTTAAATTTCCTACTTTCTCTCTTTAAAAATGTGTGCTGTGTGTTGCTATGAGCAATAATAATCGATATTGAATAAGACAGAACACCTCTTGTGTGCTTCTGTCATATTTTGGTATTTCATTGTAGTTTGTTGTGTATTAACTTCCTTTTGGGAGAAGATAATATTTAAGTCTTTATGACTCTCGTGAATTGGAAATACTTTATCTTCCTTGTAGCATTATAGCATCAGCAGAAAATAAACATGACGTGCTTTATTATTGAATCACTTTCTACAAAACCATGAGGTGCTTTATTATTACTTCTATTTTAGAGTTGTGATTAATTTGATAACTTATTGCAGGTAAGTGGTATAATTATTGTCCAATAAGAAATTAGATTTTAAAAACTTTGTGAATAGAGATGGGTTTGGGTAGAGAGGTAGACAGAGAAATAAATAATTGTAGAGAGAGAGAAAAAGTGAGTTGTGATTGTGGAAGAGAAAAAAATATGTAATCAAATTTTGAAGTAAAGATAGTCATTCTTCATCCAAGGATGGAGCCAGGATGTAAGGTAAGGAGGGGGCAAAAATGAATTTTGGGAGGCAATAGTGCATATTTTTAGTAATTTTAGGAGTGCCAAATGTAATATTTCATGAATATATTACTAAAAATAAATAAATTATAAGGGTAGATTGCTAAAAGAAAATTTCTATTGCCTTCAATGTAGATCCGTCACTGTCTTCGCCCATGGGCGTAGGCAATTTGCCTAAACACTTAAATCTCGGTTTGCTTGTGCTTTTATCTCTTCCATTTGCCAATTGTGTATGTGAAATCTTAATAAGATATTACCCTATGTTTAACGTCATAGCATCTCAATATATATATATATATTTTAAATGTTGATTATACACGAATTAATAGTTATTGGATTTTTTTTTTTTTCTTTCATGATATATTAATGTTTTCCCTATTTACCGAAAAAATATATATATTAATGTTTTCTTTATTGAAGAATTAGTATCTAATTGACAACTACAATATAGTCCTAGTTCATTGACAAATTAAAATTTACCCAAACAAGATGATTTCTCCCTTATTCAAATAAAATAATATACTTGCTTCTGTGAGTCCTCTTCCTCGTCATGAACGTTGCATCTAAAATTCCAAATCAGGTTAACTGACTTTTTGGGCTTTTAAAGCTCTTATGATTATATATGTTGGAAAAATATAAGGGGAAAGATATAAAGCACTAACGGTAGGAATTAACTGAGAATAGGAAAATAAATAAATAATTAGAATGAACTTTAACGACAGAACCGCTAGTGTATAGAATTGAACATTAACTGAGAATAGGAAAATAAATAAATAATTAGAATGAACTTTAACGATAGAACCGCTAGTGTGTATAGAATTGAACAACAGGAAGTAGTATCGAACAATAAAACTGAATTTGCTGTGCTGTTTTCCTTATGGAAGAGTTAGAATCTCATTAATAGATAATATTATTCTAGTTCATTGACAAACTAAGATTTGAGCTACCTAAACCAGATGATTTCTCCCCATTCAAATGGAATAATAATAATAATAATAATAATAATAATGATTGTGGAGGCACAAAGCACAAGCCTATCAGGGACGGGCACGTGTGTGCCTCAGTAACCAATAGAAAGCATCCACAAGTCTTGATAACTGGGCAACATGTAGCAAAGTGGTTTAAACCGTAACTGCAATTCAAAGTGATAGAGGGCAGGATATGGGCCAAAATACCAACAATAAATTAAGGAAAAACACGAAAGAGAGAGGATCAAAGAGAGAAATAAGCTCCGACAATTATGAGTTCACTGTATAAATAAAGAAAAAAGAAGACCATGCATGGCATCAAATTCTGGGTTGCTCAGCTCTAAAGGCCAATCGCCATTTCAATTATATAATTCCTTTGTTCTATTTATGTGTGTTTGTGTGAATTTCTACTTATAGCTTTTTGCCCACACACTTTGGCGTCGGCGTCGTCATGGGAATCTTTCATTTGTTCTTCCTATTAGAAATAAAGAGAGAGAGAGAGATGATATTGTATTGAGGCATGAGATATGAAGATGCATAGGGGTTTATATAAGTGACGAGATGTGTGGAGAGGAAGAAACCTAAACCCTGTATGATAAAACCTATACATGGTTAGAATATATTCTACAATATAGTAATAATATATTCTAACACTTCCCATTCTTTATTTATGCAACTCTAATCTAGAAATATGACTGGAGCTGAAGCATCCTAATGACAAGAAGAGGCACTACAAGAAAAGTGAGTTTATACGACATAGTGTTTACGGGGCTTCTTTATTTTGTGTCGTGATTACCACCATTTACGGAGTTTCTAAAAGAACCTCGTAATAGGACATGTTTTCACGAGGATTTTATAGAATCGTCGTAGAAAAAAAAATTTACGGAGTATTAAAGAGCCCGTGAATATTTAGATACATTTACGGTATATTTGTACACCTTTAACGGGATAAATGTTCATCGTTGATAAAGCACACATCTACGACGCAATTTTTGCTCCGTAAATAAGCAATAAAAATTTTCACATCTAAGGCGCCTTTTTTCCCTCGTAAATAAGATGAACTTACGGTGTATTAAACAACTCGTGGATAAATTTCACATCTACGGCGCTTTTTTTGCCTCGTAAATAAGCAATAAAAGTTTTCGCATCTAAAGTGCCTTTTTTGCTCCGTAAATAATTTTTCACATCTAAGGCGACTTTTTTGCCCCATCAATAAATGGATAAATTTCACATCTACGGCGCCTTTTTTGCTCCGTAAATAAATAATAAAAGTTTTCACATCTAAGGCGCCTTTTTTGCCCCGTAAATAAGCTTTCCGCTTTTTCCCTTCCCTCCATTTTTTCCCTCCTTTGATTTGTAATATTTGGGCCCTAAACTATGTCGTTTTTGGGGGCCAATTAACAATTTATTCCACTTTCCCATTTCATTTTGCAATAGCCCCTAACTCCTTCAGTCGCTCTCTCTCCTTCCATCACAGGTCTCGCCTACTGCCTCAACCTTAAGGGTGTGTTTGGTAGGGTTGATTTAGAGGGATAGGGAGAGAAAAGAAAAGAGAGGATAGTGTAAGTTTGTGTGTTGGGTAACTTAAGTGGAGGGATAGGGAGGGACAAGAAGAGATATGGAGGGATAAGAAGAAATAGGGAGGGATAGCTATCCCTCCTTATTTCTTATTTGCTTTTTCCTCAAAATTGAGAAGATAGGGAGAGATAGTGAGAGAAAGGATAGTGATTTTAGTGGTATTTTGATAATACCAAAATTAGCCTCCACAAATCAATACACAGATGACAGATTTATTCCATTCAAGTCCCATGATTATGAAAGGGTAAAAAAATAATTTGTCTATTATCCTTTCTTTTCTTTCATCTATCTTATCCAAACAAAAATAACTATCACTTCTTTTCTTTTCTCCCCTATCTGTCCAAACACAAATATAAATTATTACTATCCTTTATTTTCTTTTCTCACTAACACTATCATTTCTTTATTTTCTTTTCTTTTCTCACTAACACTATCATTTCTTTTCTTTTCTTTCTCTAGTAACTAATACTATCCAAACACACCCTAAGAGGCTACTCTGGCCTCTCATTCACTCTCTCGCTCTGCAAAACACACTCTCTCTCTTCCTGAGGTCGGCTAGCGAGAGAGCTTTCCGAGTCTTCGATTCTTCTTCATCTGTAGAAGGTCGGTTCTCTCTGCTTTTCTTTCTCAACATCTCCTAGGGTTTCTATAGATTTTCATATTGTTCTTTATTTGAATCTGAAATTTTTTTTTGTTCCAATGACTCTGTATATTCAAATGTTGAAATTTATTATATATATGTACAGATCTGTTGTTTTGAGCTGATTTGTGCATCTGTAGTGTTATCTTTGTACGATTAGATTCATCTGTGCAGTAGATATGTATTTTTCTTTTCAGATGCAGTAGTACCGGTAGATGATTTTGGATCTTCTGTTATGTATTGAATTATAGGCTCTAGATTGACCTAGTAGATTTGTATGTGTGTTTTAAATCCATATGTATATTCGCTTGACATGCTTTTGATGCGATTTCAAATTTTGATGTGGTCAGGAAGACATTTGTTTGCTTGTGTAGCAACTGGAATTTGATCAATTTTTTCCGATTGTTTAATTGTGTATTGGGAGTGAGTTTTAGGTATCTAATCTGTAGATCGCTAGTTTGCTGCTTTTGTCTAACATCATCAATTTATTCTTGCTGCTTTTGTCTAATCATCATCATTTTCCCATCGAGAAATTGAGAATCATCTCCAAACCTATTTAATTCTATGGTTTTGAAGATCAAAATCTTAAATCTAGTTTGATCCTTGACTAATAATCTTAGCAATAAAAGTGTTGTTTCAGCAATTCAACAATATATATGGTACTTCAATGCATTTTTATGTTTTGCAATGTGTGTGTGCGCGAGCAAAACTGTACCAATTTTTATTTATTTAATTTTTTTAAAAAATTTATGTTAATTATATATTTAATTAGCAGCTCGATGTTTCTCACATTTTCGCAATACCTTTGCAGAGGCCACACCAAAGGCTATCTTGCAGATAATGAATATGAGGGGACTGACACTTTACCACTTGAAAAGTCACTTGCAGGTTTATTATTTAACTCTTTTAATCCAATTTTTAAGAATACTTCAAATTTAAAGTGAGGATTTAATGTATATCAGATGAAACTTCAACTCATGTTTATGCTGAACATTTTTCTGCCCCAGGCTACAAAAAGAAAGCCACCTCTGTTTTGAGACATTCTGCAAAGGGGTTCATAACAAATACCCTTATCCTTCACAACTGCCACCATATGCACACTCACAGGTACAAACACAAAACCAACTCATTGGGTTCCCCTTTTCCTATGTTGTTTAATTCTTTATATTTTCAATTTGTTAAGTCAGACATTGTATGGTTTTGCTTGACGTTCATTGACTACCTCTTCCAGGATAAGAAGTTGCTGTTTGAGTTTGGCTGCTGAACAAGAGAAAAATATAACAGAGAAGTGGTTACCTGAACTAAAGAGTGCAGTCCTGAATTCTCATAAATGACTGGAAGATTGCAAATATGTCAGGGGCTTGGTAAGTAACTTCCACTAGTCTGTCATTTGTTGCTATAGTTATAACAGGTTTGATAGTTGAGACAAAAAAATCTTGACCATAATGATATGTTTTT